AAATAAATAGATTATAATACACATGGAAAATGATCATATAAGAATAGTTGTTCCTATTAGGAATGAAAATAAATCTTCATCTCACAAAACGATGAACGAATGAAAATTTAGGTTTCACTACTAGAAATAGTCGATTTTTCGACCACCACAAAGTGGTCAAAAATTACTGATTTTTGAAGAAAAAAAAATACCGATCACATTTCTGACCACTTGGGATCCAAAAAATCCTCCGTCAGAAATTCCGACCACCATTAAATATTTTCGTCCAGTTTAACTTTTTGACGAAAAATTTTAAAAAAAATCACTTTTTTCTAACCATTTTTGTTGGTGGTAAAAAAGTGATCGGAAAATCAAGCATTTCTAGCAATGTTTATAAAAAAAAATGGTGACATTTATATAAATAAATAGAAGTTTAAATGAATAAATAGCGTATATTTATCCAAATTGATGTTTGTTTAAACTTGATTTTTATTGAAACAACGCGTATTTGGACGATGTGTGTTTCGCCTAAAATAATGCAAGTAAAATCCCATGCATATTTAGTCATGTAATTAAATGCCAATTTTTAGTCCTTAAATGATTTTATAATGGTTGACACCGTCTTTGAAATCGATCTTCCAATAACAACTTTTCACTCTTCAATAGTAGCTCTTATCATCCATGACTGTATGGAACTGAAAAATTTAACAAAAGTTTTATAAACTTGGGAAAATGAGGTTTTTGGTCTTTGATTTCTTCCATACCACCTTCATCTTTTAATTGTTACCAAGATTGACTCTTGTAAAATCGAACCGTTAAAACCTAATAAAAGTTGTACGATGGTTTTTTCTTTTAATTTCCTTAAATACCTACTTCAATGCCGCATTCCCTTTTATTCCCTCATTCAGATCACTTTTACTTATTTTTCTCTAATAATTAACTTTAAAAAACTATACAAAATGTTTCTTATATATATATATATATATATATATATATATATATATATATATATATATATATATATATATATATATATATATATATATATATATATATATATATATATATATATATATACATTTATAGTCATATAAAGAAAAATAAAAAAATAAAAATAAAACAATGTTAATACTCCAAATGTACAAGTTATAATCTAGAAATAAAAATTGTATGTAGAACCTTCTTCTCATTTTAACATGAATAGGAAAACAATCAAGATTAAGAAACAAGTTTTCAAAACATCCTTTAAACAAGATCTCTTTAAGATCTCCACCACCCATATTATCTTATCTAAATGGTGCTCAAAAATCAAGAAATTTTCATGGAAATCAAATCATCATAGAATGAAATACTCCAAATCTAGAGGGTGCACATAAATCCAGGGCAGCCATTGACTAATTTAAGCTCAACTTAATTTGCGGATCCCATTAAGTTGTGAGCTTATTGTAATGCTACAGCTGTGATTGTTTGTTTTGTTTTTTTTTTTTAAAAACTATAAGGTGGTTCAAGTTTTTCTCTTTCTCTGTCTATTTAACAGTTTAGACTCACCCGACTAATCCCGCTCCAGGAAACACGGGAGCTGATCCAAAAAGAATCGCCATTTGTAATTTATGAGAGTCGTTTTAAAATTCTACTTTATAAAGAGATTTCATTTTCCACTTGAGCTACCCGGGTTATAGAAGCTGCGTTGCAACTGCAATACATAAAGATCAGAATCACAATATCCAACTACAATAATTATGACATGAATGCCTAGGAATATCTATCATAATTCACAAAGTCACAGAGATAACAGGTAGCTACTGCATGTATATATGACAAAATATGGACAGACAATAAGTTGGGCCAATCAACTAATAATTTGGGATCCAAGACAAGAAAAGGGGCACAAACTTCCAAATTTTCCCTGATAACTAGACAAAGACTAGACCTCATAGTGATAACAACACAAGGGACAGAATGAAGTACCACTAACCATTATTCATCAAAAAACAGATATGGATCTACCATTAAATTTTAAATTATTCATATTAACTCCACGCACATGAGGCCTCAGCTCAATCCATCCATATACAAATGGACGTGGATTTGAACTAGTACAAATACAATTTGAATTATTGAATAATAAAGAGGTTCTTTCTCACGAGTGGTGTTTCTACTTTCTATATATATATGCTCTTATCACCCTTAGAGAAAACAAACCGATTTTACATTTCTTGGATTAATAATTATGTTATTGAGCTATTTTTGAGAAATTTTTGAATTTCAGATTTGTGAAAACTTTATACACAAGGTAAATTTGATCTTAAGACCTTATATATATATATATATATATATATATATATATATATATATATATATATATATAAATATAAAGATTCACATACTTATAGTAATGAATTACAAGAACCTTTATATATTAATGGAATAAGGTTCAAATTGACCACTGAACGTAACCTGAAAAATGCAATTGGGTCACAGAACAAAAAAAAAAAAAAAAAAAAAAAAAAAAAGGTGCAATTAGGCCACTGAACACTCCAAAAATGCGCAATTGGGCCACTGAACACTCCAAATATATGCAATTTCACCAGATAATGGATAGAAAAAAAAATGCGCAATTGGGCCACTGAACACTCCAAATATATGCAATTTCACCGGATAATGGGTAGAAAAAATGGCGGTCAAATTTTTTAATCAAATGAATGGCTCAGATTGATCAAATTTTAATTTGTCCTTAAGATTTCCTAATTTATCCTTAATGAATATGATTATCTGTTAACTTTTCCGTTAAATATTATCTTTTACGTTAATTTCTGTTAGTTCACCGTTAACTTACTTATTGATTTCAATAAGAAAGGTCTTAGGTTCGAACCCAATCCTAATCAAAGTTGGCATAATTAGTACTCTATTTTACTCTTATTAAATTAAATAATAATTTAGTAGCTACAACAAAAAATAAGACATATACATTTCTTTAAGAGTTAATGAACGATTTGGTCCCTCAATTTTTTGCGAACTGTCAATGTAGTCCCTCAATCGCTTATTCATCAATTTGGTCCCCGAAAATAATTATTTTTAGTCGATTTAGTCGCTCCGACCGTCGATTTGGTCCCCGAAAACAATTATTTTTAGTCGATTTAGTCCCTCCGGCCATCGATGGAAGACGGCCTGAGGGACTAAATCGACTAAAATAATTATTTTCGGGGACCAAATCGATGAATAAGCAATTGATGGGCTACATTGACAGTTCGCTAATAATTGAGGGACCAAATTGTTCATTAACTCTTTCCTTAATTTAGAATTATGTGTCTACAATGTCTTTATTCAAAAAAATTATTCATTATCAATAAATTAAATAAGATAAGTAATTTTGTAATTTTATTAGCTATAATAATAATAATAATAATAATAATAATAATAATAATAATAATAATAATAATAATAATAATAATAATAATTGTTTAAAAAATAAAAAAAAATATAATTAAGCCAATCATATTAACTACTTGGGGGATTTATTGACAAAAAGAGCATTCAAATCACACAACAAATTGAAGTGGGAAATTACCTTACAATTTCCTTGTTTGGTAATCAGCCGTTATCTCTTCAATATTAGTATATATTTAATATTTTATGCCCTAATTTTTATTTGCTCTCCCTTATGTCCCGTATTTGGTTTCAACTATACCTATAGAATTATTTTATTGACAATTATAATCAATCTTAGCTATATTATCTTGTATTTGTAAACTTAGAATTACCTATTTAAATACGCAAATTCAACATTCAATAATCTATGCATGAACAATTCTAATTCAATCTTGTCTTGATATACTTTAAATTACTTATTAAAAAAATATTGGGCATTATCTCAATCGCGCAATGCGCGTAAAAAACTAGTTAATGGAATAAGGTTCAAATTGACCACTGAACGTAACCTGAAAATGCAATTGGGCCACTGAATGAAAAAAAAAAAAAAAAAAAAAGGTGCAATTAGGCCACTGAACACTCCAAATATATGCAATTTCACCGGATAACAGGTTATCATCAATTTTACCAGGTTACCTGCTTACGTGGCAGCTGAGTTGGCAATTTTAATAATTTTTAAATAATTTTCAATAAATTTAAATAAAAATGCAAAAGAATTGAATAAAAAAATAAACCTTGTCTTTAAAAAAAATTACTCTTTTTTTTAAATTATTATTAAAATTTATTAAAAGTATCTAAAAATTATTAAAAATGTCAACTCAGTTGCCACGTAAGCAAGTAACCTGCTAAAATTGATGGTAACCTGCTATTCGGTGAAATTGCATGCATTTGGAGTGTTTAGTGGTCTAATTGCACATTTTTTTTGTTCGGTGATCTAATTAAATTTTCAAGTTACGTTAAATGGTCAATTTAAACCTTATTACTATATTAACTATTATAAAGGGAAAAGTATATATTCTAAATTATAGACTTAAAACTTTTTTAAAAATTAGTAATTTTAATATTTTAATATATATTAAAGTGGACCGAATTGAGTTTGTATTTTAAAAGATGTGAGCCGGACCTAGCTACCTACGTGACACACATTATAATATGGGTTGGCATGACGCAACTTACATTAGTGTTAGCCTAGTAATCCATGTGAGTTTGAGTCATATTAGCACGACATAACCCACTTGACACCATCATTTCACAAAAAAGTATAAAATATTGTTGTGGGACAAGATAAACATACTTCAATTCATTCACGTTGTGCATGTTAAGAACAAATTATATCACAAACTCATTATACTTGATTTGAATGCATGCATGGATGTTATTAATTACTATAACTCATTAAATTTGAAATAAATGTTATGAAACACAAAATGTTATCAAAGTTCAAAACTATTTAAAAGCTAGAGATCAGATATAATATAAATTATATACTAGTATAATACTATTGTATGATGTATGATAGAAAAAGATGGAGGGAATATATATATAAAGTATTTGTCATGACCTTGGCCATGCATATAAAGTAGTTTGACAATATGACCTTAAAGGAAGGGAACTGATCACTCTCATGTGGCTATAGAGACAATGTCCTGATCTCCCAGCAACCCATCCAAAATTTAAAGATAAAATCAAACTCCAAAAAATCTCACACACTATATTAAACTGCACCCTCCATTCTCATCCACCCTCTCTATCTATCTCTACCTTTTTCCATTATTTCTTTCTCCGTTTATGGAAACTAATCGCAGCAGCACTGAAATTCATGCAACCTCACCATTATCAGCCCATCACCACCGCCCCCATACCCTCCACCGCCGCCATGACATTCTTTCTCCGACCACCATTCTTCTCATAGTCATTCCCCTCATCATTATCATCCTCCTCGTTGCAATTCTCCTCCTGGTTCTAATGCTCCGCCGCCTGCAATCAGCGAAAGGCGGCGGTGGCGGAAATGGGGAGACTAATGGCGTCGTTAACAACCGGAACTGCCTCTTCATTTCCCATAGCACCATTAACATCAAGTCCAGCCCAGGTATGTAATAACACAGACTGCTGGAAATTATGAAATTTCAGACCACCTGAAAGTTATCTTAAATCAAGTCGAAAGCCTTTTCCGACCACTTTTGGTATCCAGAAAAACCTTTGTTGTTATTTCCGACCACTTTCAGGTGGTCGGAAATTCTATAATTTCCAACAGTGACATCACAAATCCAAAAAAATATATATAATTCATCACTTTCTAGTGTAATATATAATTTGTTTTAATATATATTAGGAGATGGGAGTGGTGGGTGCCTATATGGAAGCAGTGTGGGACGTGAACCGCAGGCTAAAGTGAGAGGGATACAAGTGTTCACATACAAGGAGCTAGAGGCGGCTACTGAGAAGTTCAAGGAGGCAAATGTTATAGGAAATGGAGGGTATGGAGCGGTGTACAGAGGGGTCCTCAGAGATGGGACTGTGGCTGCGATTAAGGTGTTGCAGAGGGAAGGCAAGCAATGGGAACGCGCTTTCCGCCAAGAGGTAATAACTAGCTACTTCATTTATTGCCTCCCATCTTTATCTCTTTCACAATCCTTTTCCACAAAAGACAATTCCCTAGCCTCAAACCCTAGTACAATATATCCCGCATGATAGGATAGTAAATGGGTAAATAACAGTGATTCAGGTGGTCATTAGGTAAGAAAATCTGGTGTCTATAAGGAACCCAGTACATTAGGTATAATTCCTCACTATGGTTACCCGGGCTAGATCTAGTGTCTTTGCCCAACACATCCACTGCTGGAAACTATAAAATTTCCGACCACCTGATCTTAAATCAAGTTAAGATCAAGTTGAAAGTCTTGTTCCGACCACTTTTGGTATCCGGAAAAACCTTTGTTGCTATTTCCGACCACTTTTTGCTTTCAACTTGATTTAAGATCACTTTCAGGTGGTCGGAAATTCCATAATTTCTAGCCGTGATCCTAGACAGTAAATAGGTAAATAACGGTGACTCAGATCATTGAGTGGGAGAACTAGTGTCTAATGTCTACACGGAGTCCACCACATTAGGTGTAACTCTCACATTGTGGTTGCTATGGTTGGATCATATGTCCTTGTCCAAAACATCCCAGCCCGACATGATAGTAAATAGGTAAATGACACTACCGCAAGTGATCATTAAATGGGAAAATCAGTGCTTGGTGTCCATGAGGAGCTCATCACATTAGGTGTAACTCCCACAGTGTGACTTCCAGAGTTGGATATTGTGTCCTTGTCCGGCACATCCCGGCCCAGGATAGTAAATGAGTAAATGACTTGACTCAAACTGTCATTAAGTGAGAGAACAGTGTCTGATATACACAAGGAGCCCACCACAATAGGTGTAACTTTCACAATATAACTGTCAAGACTGGATCTTGTCTCCTTACCCATAATCTACCAGCCAAGAACCAACTGAAGTGCGGGTGCGTAACGTACTTCTTTCACAATCCTAGAGTACACTGTTGTCTGTCACTGTTGCATTGAATTGAGTTCAGATCAACTATTTTTTTTGCAGGTGGATATACTGAGCCGTTTACAGTCCCCATATCTGGTCCAACTTCTGGGCTACTGCGCGGATCAACGCCACAGGCTGCTCATCTTCGAGTACATGCCCAACGCCTCATTGCAGCAGCATCTCCACCCGGCGGCCGCCGTGCTGAATTGGGGCGTCCGGCTGAGGATAGCGCTGGACTGTGCGAGGGCGCTGGAGTACCTGCACGACCACACTGCCCCCTCAGTCATCCACCGCCACTTCAAGTGCACTAATGTCCTTCTGGACCACAATTTTAGGGCTAAGGTTTCTGATTTTGGGCTTGCAAAGATTGGTTCAGACAAGATTGACGGTTTGATTTCCACTCGCGTCTTGGGGACCACTGGATACTTGGCCCCGGAGTGAGTGCCATCTTTCTCTTTTACCCATTGCTCATTAAATATGGTAACTTCTTTTCTTCTTTCAGCAGGCTAAAGTCCCCATCACACCGCAGCCACCGCTCTACTGTCATTTTCTTTGCTCTTTAGATCCAAATGCTTACTCCTAACAAAACAAACAATCAATCCAAACACGTGATTCCCTTTCCATACACTAAATGCCACATCTAAAACACTATCCCACGATTTTTTGCTCAATTCACTTGTCCCGGGACGCATATCCCGGCTCTACAGGATTTATGGATGTGGTAAATCACGGTGACTTAGGGACCATTAGGTGAGAGAACCACTATATGGTGTCCCAATTGTTATACCATGGACCAGGATTCATATTGTATTGTGAACTCTGATCCAAAAATGACGTGCCAGTTAACAAATTTTGTACCTGCAATTAACAATTTTTGTAGCCAAATAACATGATAATTACATACACATAACAATGATAACTACATACACAACATATTCTGTACTTGCAGTTAACAATTTACGTGTATGTAGTTATCAACTTATCACGTTATGTGTCTATAATTACTATGTGATGTGTCTTCAATTTGTTTACACATACAAACATAATTAACTGCATGTACAGAATTTGTTAATGGCAAGTACATGATCTGGAGATTATTTTTGGACCAAGGTTCACAATAGAAGGTAGACCCTGGTCCATGGTATAATTTGCCATGGTATTCACCACATTGGGTGTAACTCCAACATTACAGCTATCAATCCTGCGTCCTTACTCACAATCTTCTATCAAAGAACCAACTGAGCTTATTTTTTGATAATGCAATAGGTATGCTTCCACGGGAAAACTTACCACGAAGTCAGACGTCTACAGCTACGGCATAGTCCTTCTAGAGCTCTTGACGGGACGCGTGCCAGTCGATACAAGGCGGCCTCCTGGAGAACATGTCCTTGTTTCCTGGGTGTGGATTGAATTACATTTTTTCTCTCAAAAACTTGTTTCTGCTAGCAATAACCCCAATATATATACTGGTGTACTTTTGCAGGCACTTCCAAGACTTACAAACAGAGAGAAAGTAGTGGAAATGGTTGATCCAGCACTAAAAGGGCAATACTCTCTCAAGGATCTAATCCAGGTTACTTGGAATTTTGTTCAATTCCCATCACAAAATGTAGCATTATATTGCTTATAGAGTTTATATATACTGCATTTTGTTTAACAGGTAGCTGCTATTGCTGCAATGTGTGTACAAACCGAAGCGGATTATCGTCCCTTGATGACAGATGTTGTTCAGTCTTTAGTACCTCTTATCAAGACTCAATCTTCTTCCTGTCCTAATTCATTTAGATACAATAATCAAAGCACAAATGCCAGTCCACTCTAGTTTGGATTTCATGATAACTCTGCTCTCAACAACTCAGGTAGTTCTGAAGAGATTTAATTTGACCATCAAAATGTTGTGCAGCTGATTTGCTTAATGATAATTGATAAGCCCCTAGCTAGGATTTTTTTTAATCTCCTTGGTTACTTCACTGTACATGAAGAGCTTACTGCTCAGGAGTCAGGACTCTGATGAATGATGACCAATTTTAATGTTTCAGTTGAAATTAATTTTAGCAGCCTAAAATCCAATGGAAATTGTGTTTTGTTATAAAGATTAATTATTGTGGACATTATGAGGATTGATTGTGTAACGGTTAAATATTTATGTTTAACATTATTGCTTTCCGTTACAAGTGTATATATATATATATATATATATATATATATATATATATATATATATATATATATATATATATCTTATCTTAATCTTAAAACATAATAAGTGTGAATGAAAGTTATACCCGTGATTTATGTCCGTTTTTTTACGTTAAGTTTTTTTGTACATTATGCTATAAAGGTTGTACATTAAAATATTTTGGACAAACATACCCCTACCGTTATAACTTTCGTTATCTTTTCCACTATTGTTACCATGCACATGCATCCACCATATATTTTCCTATCTTCTTCATTAATAATAATAGATACACATTAAATATTTGAGTTATATGTTAATTATTACATAAATATAAATATCAAATTTATAAAAATGATTTACATTATTATTATTATTATTATGTAGAATAACTTAAATATCTAAAATTTAAATAAATTTAAAATTTTAATATAATGTATTAATATTGGGCACTGATTTTTTACGCATCGCACATAAAAAATATTAGTATATATATATATATATATATATATATATATATATATATATATATATAGAAAATTTCAATATGTAGAAACAAATGATGAATGAGAAAATTCCTCCCCATTTTCTGTATTTTCTGTCTCCCTGCTGTTTGGTTTTACAACATGTTTCAATTTGTGACCCAATTTGATTGGTTGGCATAATACTTTTGTACAAAATCAATTGCAAATTGATGATTATTTTTCGCCGCGGGTGATGTAGGACAAGAGAAATGTTGCTAACAATGACAAAGAAATTGAAATTGAAAGCTTTGAAAAAATTAACTAACGTTGCTACCAAATTAAAAAAATTAATTAACGTTGCTAGCAAATTAACTCAAAGCTTTCTAATTGTATTCAAAATTATCACTTTTGGATAGAGCCGTCGAAACGGTCGCGTGGGGTGGGACGGGTCAAAGCACACCAAAGCCCGTCCTCGTAGCAGGACGGGCTAAAAAGCCCGCCTCTTAACGGGCTTGGAATGTGGCCGGCGCGCCCCGCCATGCCAAAGGTGTTAATTTGGGCATTTCAGACACGGCAATGTCATATCAGATACCAGCATTTTATGTGTGATTTCTTTTTTATCACCTACTTTCTAAGCTCTGATACCATTACCCTTAACATAAAATGGTATCGAAGTTCTGATACCAATGTAACATAAAATGATCCAGGCAAGTTAGCAGAGTGCAAACCCATCTTCTCCCACCATCTCCTCGTTCTTCCCAAATCATAAATTCATAGTTCATAGTTAGCCCGACACAAAGTACACTACACACCAGAGTTCTCTCTATCTCCATCTTTGAGCAATTATTAAGATTTGATAAATATTAGATATTGGGGGTGTTTGGTAACTCAGCCTATCACCCAAAATTGGCTAATTTGACTATGATTGGTTGTTTGACTTTATGAATCAGCCAATTTAAGTGTTTGGTAAGATAGCTTTTTTGAGATGGCTGATTTGCCCAAACAACCAATTTAGAAAAGGCTACGGGTTAGAGCGTTTTTTCTTGGCCGTTTGCACATTTCTCTCATTTGCCCTTGTTAGATCTTTGCGCAGTTCTCTCATTTTTCGTCCTTGCGGCCGGAGCTCTCCTCGCAGCCGGATGCTCTCAAAGTTACTGTGGAGATTCTCTTTCTAAGGTAATTTCTATCCCTCCTGTTGGTTTTCACAACCCCGATGGCCGCTCGGCAGGCCAACACTATCGAATAACTGTGTTTGTGAGATGATGAAAACAAGATATATAGTATTAAAGAGAGAAAGAATAATGTGATATTATTTCTCTAGGGGTTCGCCCTAAAAAAATGCCGATCCTCTACATGATGATCCAGGGGATATTTATACATGAGCTCGGGGCTCGTATATGGTAAGTAGGGTTGACGTACGGCCAAGCCTTGAGACGGGTATGACTGAAACAGCCACCAACCTGTTGCCATAAACCATTTAGGCTAATTAAGGAAACTACCTAAATGAGCATAGATTGCTTCCGTAGAATCTGCTGATATCCGTTTTCGGGTATGCGCCCAGTCAGGAATGCCTGGGCGCCATAGAGTATCTTCTAGGGCCATCGTATCCGGGCGAGAGCACCTCGCTTTCGTAGCCTGGTCTCCCAGGCGGGTTCAGAATGGCGCCCGGTCGGAGACACACTGCCTGCGTAGCCTGGTCGTACATCTGATTCCGCTGGGGTATTCAGCCGGAGACACGCCGACTACTGAGGCTGGTCGCCCAACTGAGACTCGTCCGAGAGACAGCCCGGGGACGCACTGGCTGCTGAAATTGGTTGCTAGGGGATGAGCAACTGTTGCCGTTAGACGTCTTTCAGGACGACCGAGAAGGGTCTGGGGGATCCCCTCTACGTCAAGTATCGAATTATGCCGTGACCCGGCTGCCTCATCTGACCTTCCCATCCAGGCAGCTAACCAGGGTATCTATCACCTCCATATTTCTCTTCTGAAAACTTCACACCTATTCTTTATATCACACCCTTGGCTTGAAAACTTAGGATTTATAAGAAAAGAATGTCATGATTTTTGCTTTGTGGGCTTTCTTTTTAGCAAATTTAAAATATTTTTTAAAACTAATTATTTAAGAAAAAACATTTTTATGCCGGAGACCTTTTTTTTTTTTTTTTTTTTTTTTTTTATAATAAGAATAATTAGTTTTAAATAATTATTTTTAAAAAAATATTTAAATTCGAAGTGACATATTAGAAACCTGAAAATCTATAAATCGAACTAACGACATAAGCATTCAAAAAAAAACTAATGATATAAAATTAGTTAGTTTAGAGATTTAATATTATATATATATATATATATATATATATATATATATATATATATATATATATATATATATAAAATTTTAAGTTCAACGACTTAATTGTATTTTGATGTGTAGTTTGATGAACTATTTTATCTTATTCTACTCTTATTTTAGGAATGAGTTAATACCCAAAATCGTCCTCGACTATAGTGGTTTTTCTCAATTTCGTCCTAAACGACTTTGGTGACCTAATATCGTCCTAGACTTTTGTGTTTCGCTCAATTTAGTCCTCCATTTGTTATTCCGTCAAATTGGTGTTAAATAAAGGGACAATTCAGTAATGTCAATATTGATCTCTCTTTACTTTCAACTTGTGAAGTGCGAAATTCTTCTTTCTTGTACGAATTACACCTAGAATTACTCCCGGACCTGCAAATCAAATTTTATATTCGCAGTTTTAGGAGTAATTCTGGGGGTAATTCGTAAAAAAAAAAAGGATTTCGCAGTTCACATGTCTATGAGTAAAGAGATGCCAATATTAAAATTACTGAATTGTCTATTTATTTAACACCAAATGGACAGAATAACAAATGAGGGACTAAATTGAGAAAAACACAAAAGTATGAGACTAAATTGAGCGAAACACAAAAGTATGGGACGATATTAGGTCACCAAAGTCGTTTAGGACGAAATTGAGAAAAACCACTATAGTCGAGGACGATTTTGGGTATTAACTCTTTTAGGAATGAAAGAGAAGTTCGGTGGAGCAAAAATGATTTTAAAGGTCTAATTCCAAATAAACAACTTGAGCGGCAGAAAAAGTCCCATAAGCCCTTGCTTCAAACGGCGATGAAGCAGGGAAGAAGGTCAGGCGGCGGCGGCCTTCAGGCGCTTCGCAGACACATAGAAACATGTAGAAGCAAGTACTCCACCGCCGAGCAGATCGTAGATCATCTTCGCTCTGCTTACCCCCAGTATGGGCGGCAGAAGGTGCAGCCATTCACCAAACGCGTTCAGGACGTCCTTCAGACCATCAATTCGAGAGGTAGCTTGGTAGAAGACAGCAGCGATGAGAGCAGCGACCAAGCGAATCCCCCCAGAAAGATACCGAGGAGAATCGACGAGAGCGAGAAGAGATTGCAGCAAATCGAGGCTCAACATCTTAGGAATATGCAAAGGAAGGAGGAATTGTCGTCGTCGGATTCCGAGTCTTCTGAGGCCGGGAGTGATTCCACGCCTACTTCATCCTCATCGCTGGATGCGGTTTACGGAGAGAAGATTGAGCCGAAGCACGATTTGATGCGGTCCATGCTTCGAAACCAATACAGCGAACAGAAGGCAAAAACCACTCCCAAATCGAACGCTAAAGTTATGGAAGTGGAGGTTGTGAATAACAGTGATGCCAATAAGGTGAAAAAGAAAGTTTCTTTATTGAAAGGAAAGCAAGTTTTACCCTCCTCGCCCGCTGTTAACTTGGGGAAAAAGGGGCCAGAACTAGGAGGAATAGGGATTGAAAGCAATGCTGACAAGCCAAATGCTGGGCCGAAATTTAAGGACCTAGGAGGAATGGGTTCTGTGGTAGAGGAATTGAAGATGGAGGTCATGGTTCCATTATACCATCCACAGCTACTGAAACATCTAGGAATTAGGCCAATGTCAGGGATCCTCTTTTATGGGCCACCGGGGTGTGGGAAGACAAAGCTAGCTCACGCTATTGCTAATGAAACTGGAGTTCCCTTTTACAAGATTTCTGCTACTGAACTGGTCTCCGGGATTTCAGGTGAAGCAAAGTTTCTTTTCTTTGCTGTTTTGTTTTTGTAGTTACAGTATATGAAGTTAATGATTTTGGGTTTCATGTAATTTCAATATTCTTAAAGACATTGTTAATTTCGTTAACAAGAAGTGGCATTGAGAATGTGTGATATTTCAAAAGGATTAGCAATGCATTTACAAGATTAAGCCTCTACTTCAGAAGCACCAATATATCCAATTTGAACTCATTGGCTCATTGCTAAAAATCATAATGTCTGAGGTAATAGTGCCATTGTATGTCTTGGTGTAGGTGTAAGGTTGCAAAGACGCATTGATATATTTTCAAAGATATATATGATTTTCCTTGTAACCATTTCCCTAGAACTTCTGCTGTGTAAATAGTTCATTGTTCTGTTTCTTATATCTTTTCCCTTATTGCTTGCTGCATGAGTATTTATTTATTCTTGAAATGAGCTGGATTTTAAAATAGCACTGAAGGAAAAAAATGAAGCCATTGGCAGTAGAGGGGGCTGTTTCTTCTCTGTGGCATTCATTTGCTTTGCTTTTATTGGCTTGTTGTTTTGAAGCTTTGCTTAGTGCACAAATGTTGATATTGCAGGTGCATCAGAAGAGAATATACGTGAATTATTCTCAAAAGCTAACCGGACAGCACCATCTATTGTATTTATTGATGAGATTGATGCCATTGCTTCAAAAAGAGAAAATGTGCAGCGAGAAATGGAACGGCGAATTGTAACACAATTGATGACATGCATGGATGAATCACATAGAAATGTGCAACATGCAGATGGGAATTCTGCTTCAGAACGTGTTGATGGTGGACATGGAAATGCAATGCAAGAAGGATATGATGGCAAATCCAGCCATGTTTTAGTTATTGGAGCTACAAACAGACCTGACTCCATTGACCCTGCATTAAGGAGGCCTGGACGATTTGACCGTGAGATTGTTTTAGGCGTTCCAGATGAGAATGCTAGGGCTGACATTTTGTCTGTGCTGACACGTAATCTTAAAGTTGAAGGTGAATTTGATCTCATGAAGATAGCAAGGTCCACCCCTGGCTTTGTTGGAGCTGATTTGGGTGCACTGACTAATAAGGCTGGTAACCTTGCAATGAAGAGAATTATAGACCAGAGGAAGACTGAGCTTTCTGAAGAACCTGTTGGTGTTGAACATAATGAAGAATGGTGGAAAAAACCATGGTCCCCTGAAGAGATGGAAAAAGTCAGCATTACCATGGCTGATTTTGAGGTATGTGTTGCAGAGAGATTGTCGTACTATTTTATTTCACATGTTTGCACCTGTGCCGCGCGAAGCCTCTTGCCCCCAATTTTTCCACTAAAATAATAAAAGTAACAAACACTTTTTTGGAACCAAAGAAAGACAATGTTTTAATTCTAAACATATGTTCAAACTTCAAATCATTTTAATCAAATGACATTTAGTTCAGTACTCAATAATTGCATCTTATTAGATTGTGTAGTTTATGTTCACCTTTAACTCCTTGAGCCCGCAGGTGTGTGACTATACACATATCGATTTCTCTTACCATTTTTTTAATGCTTAAAATTGGTCTGCTTCTGATGATATTCCCTCATCCATAAAACACACAAATTTCATTTTTGGGGAACTCTATATTCACTTTAATGTGGCATTGGATGACTTCTCTGCCTGATTGATTGCAGGAAGCAGTTAAAATGGTTCAACCCTCTTCTAGGAGAGAAGGTTTTTCTGCTATTCCAAATGTTAAATGGGAAGACGTTGGAGGGCTTGAATTGCTAAGGAGGGAGTTTGACCGTTATATTGTTAGACGTATAAAGTATCCAGAAGTTTATGAGGTAATTAGTTGTATGTGTTTAATTCTTGTACTGAATAATTTTTATATTTTACGCTGTGATTTATCTATATCAACAAATTGGCTAGTTAATCTATGTTTTAGGTGACCATTCCTGCATTGTTCTTTCCCCTCCCTATCTCCCACACCACCATCCCGTGACAGTTGTCACCAAACTCCAACCATGAGGGATCTTGCCGTGTCATGCTAAAGACTGACATTTTTTTTTACTGAGAAGGGATAACGCTAGAGTTCTATTGATTAGGTGGATGATGTTGGTCTTTATGAGCTCTAATGCACTATTGTTTAACTTCCTTCCCATTTAGATAGGTGAAAGATTTTAGGCTTTTCTTTTTGTAATGGTAGAGGTCCAAAGATAAACAAATTTAAGACGCATTTGGTTTGCCACTTTTGAGGGGAGAATAAGAAAAAAAAAGTGATTAGGCATCTGCTCATTCATTTTTAATGCCTCGTAAATTGGAATCGAATCCCCATTCTTTCACATTTGATGAAAGAATGCTCCCATCATAAGTCTTCAATCAAATCCCCCTCTTTTTTGTTCATTTAATCAATAATGATTCTGGTTCTCATGTCTGAACCACATGCTTAGGTCTTTCTTCTTAAGTTATGATCATTTATTTTAGCTTACAATTTCAAATATGAGCACTGCAGTGTATAATGCAACCATTTTTTTTAATGTTAAATATGTAACCTCATGTTATTCTTAACAAGGACTGTGTGAACAAAATATGCCAGAATCTGCATTCCATCTTAAATGTATTCCTTTCTGATCTTGTTATTTGCTAATAAGCTTTATAAGAAGCATTATGTAGTTTCACTGACTGTAATGCTATTGTAAGCGATGCCTTGCTACTTTCTGTATTATTTACTGAGCTTTCTTGTTTTCTTCACCTATTTTACTTGGCTCTTTATTTTTAATAAGTACTTAGAAAATTGAAGTGGTCTTTGTTTTGTTTCAACATTTGATATTCCCTTAGGGTTTTGGAGTGGATTTGGAGACAGGTTTCTTGCTCTATGGCCCACCAGGCTGTGGGAAAACATTGATTGCAAAGGCTGTTGCTAATGAAGCTGGAGCAAATTTCATACACGTCAAGGTTTCTCTCTAGTTCTCTTCTCCAAAGTACCAGATCGTTTTTATATGTTTGTTTATCTGATATTTATTATTGCTCGTTGTCAAGGGACCTGAACTTCTGAGCAAATATGTTGGTGAAGGAGAATTTAACATCCGGACACTATTCAACCGTGCGAGGACATGTTCACCATGCATAATTTTCTTTGATGAGGTCTGTGTTTCTTCTTGAAGTATAAACAATTTACTGTCATTTTCTCTTTCTACTATGTTGAGTTTTATATATGTTCTGCAAGCCTATGTTTTTATGGGAAAACTTTTGTGCTTTAGGAAGATGTGTGTATATTGATCTTCTCAATGTTGGCTATGGACTTTTATTGTTTACATATATACTTTTCTCTTGATACCTTTTTTTTTTCCCTCTTTCAATAGGTGGATGCTTTGACAACAGAGCGTAATAAAGAAGGGAGCTATGTTATAGAGCGGATGTTGAACCAGGTAATTTTGTTTTGTATTTTTCATGGAAATATCTGATTATATACTTGACTTTTAGTTTACTTGAGTGATGCCCTTTTCTAATTATTGCAGTTGCTGATAGAATTAGATGGTGCAGAACAACGCAAGGACGTTTATGTTATTGGAGCAACAAATAGGTTGAGATCTCTATTTTAGATATTTTGGGGTGTTTTGTGCTGATGATTTAAGATAAAAACAATATTTTGTTTGACGTCGATATTCTTCTTACTATATTGCTAGGCCAGAAGCAATGGACAGGGCTCTGTTACGACCTGGAAGGTTTGGAAAGCTCCTCTATGTCCCACTACCTAGTCCAGATGAACGTGGGCTTATCTTAAAAGCTCTTGCAAGAAAAAAATCTATAGATCCCAGCGTAGACTTAGCAGCCTTAGGAAGACATGACTCTTGTAAAAATCTAAGTGGAGCTGACCTCTCAGCACTGGTTTGTTCATCTTTCCACGATATTTCTCTTTTGTTCTTCCCGATTCTTATGGATACCCTTGTATCAAGGGAGACCTTGATGTCCCGCTTTGACCAATTACTCTGATTTAATGTTGGCTTTTTCTAATAGATGCTTGAAGCTGCTATGGCCGCTGTTGATGAGAAGTTGGAATCATCGTCATCAAATATGAGCGTATATGGCGTATCAACTACCATTAAAGATGTGCATTTCGAATTGGCTCGGAAAAAAATTACTCCCTCGGTTTCTGTGGAGGTTTGGACGATTCCTGCATTCATGTCATTTTATAGATATATCTTCTGTACTTCCTAATAATATTTTCTCTCTTTTTGGAATGCAGCAAATAGAATATTACAGAGTTTTGTCTCAAAACTTCAAAGCAGCATGAGAACAGACCTATATGGTATGGATTTACACTTTGGAACTAAAGACTCGTTCTTGAGAATGAGTCGATATATCCCTCTCGTCTAGTCATCTGGTTGTTTCATACACCCAAATGCTTTTTGGCCTTTAATAGATGTACAGATTATGATGCTACTGGTGTCCGGGACGAGAGAAATTTTGCAAATCTGGAGATTAATTTTGTAGGCTCTTTTTAATGTTTATACCCCATCTGTGATGGGGAAGTTTTGAAGCTCCTAGGGACTATATTCGGTTGAAGTTATTTTAAAAATGTTTGCTGTTATATGTACACTATTAATTGTTTTGTAAAAGGAAGATTTGGAATGGAAAAAGAAAAGAAGTTAGGTTTGTGCTTGGACAGTTTTGACTTTTGAGATTTAAGTTTAATTTGTCAGATTGGGAAATTTTATGGTTTGTTGAATGTTATGTTTACAAGTGTTCATATTCAAGTATTTTGTCTGTCTTGATTTAAAATTGAATTGAATTGTTAAGGATTTCTACCTTTTTATAATTTCCATTTTTTTTTTTTTTTGAATATTTGTTCTCATTTTTATATATATATTTTTTGTTATGGAGTATTTTTGTGTGGATCACGGTCTAAAAAAGATGTTTGTTTTATGCAAAATTTTCGTTCACGTAATCTATTGTAACATATATTTTTATAACTCATAATATACATAACATATATCTTTCTAACTCATAATATACATTGTTCTAAAGCATAATGTATATTATTTTAACTAAAAATAATGAAACTTCTGTATATTATTTTAACACAGAATATATATTATTTTAACACGTAAAGCACATTATTTTAACTTATAAAATTTAACGTCATTTTGAATTTTGATCTACACAACTATCTGAACCATGGTCCACACAATAATTTGTTGCTCAAATAAGATTGAGATATGTGGAGTGAAGAATATGGGTTAGTCCATACCAAAAAATGCTTCAAGAAATAATTCCTCAATTGGACAAGTGTTTTGATTATATTGCAAGGTGGATCCAGATCCACAGAATAATTTGTTTAAAAAATGAAACAAATAAAATAAAGAAAGGCTCAAGTCGGTCTAAACATACATAATGAAATATTCTAAATAATAAATGCAGAAATGCAGGTGCAATATTCTCTAATAAGTTCAAGTCTTCCGGTCAGCACACGAAAATTCGGCAACATAATGACAGAACATGAACATATCAACCCTACTAGAACATTCAACAAATCATATATCACACGAGGCACACAAGCCATCATTCAATGCAAATAAGTGACACTTCAAGAAAATATGTAATTTTTACTATTTTTATCTTTATAGACAAAATTCAATGCAATTCATTCAAATAACTTTCACTAAAAATTAATCTTGAAATCTTGTGGTTATTATCAAATCAAATATCCAACTAACTTAATTAAGATTTCACAATTGAGCCATTAATCCAAACACCAACAATAATGACATTAGGTGAGTCACAAAGTTATACTTAAGATTATATTCTGATATATATATATATATATATATATATATATATATATATATATATATATATATTACTTAAGTCAACATATATCTCTTAAGATACTTAGAAAATGGCTAAAAGTAGTCACAAAAGATAAAAGTGTATAGATCGAAAGTAGAATTGTGTAGTGATGAAACAATATTCAGATCCTTTTTCATGTGGCTATCCTCTCTCTTTTAATCATTTTTTTTTCTAGCTCATCCACGTATTCAATAACTTGTAAGTTGTAGCCATACATATTCCAAGGAATATTCCTGAGCTTTGCCGGCACCGACTTAGCTCACTGGTTTAGTAGATAGTATTTGAGAGAAAAGATTTATATTTGAATCTCGGCAGCGATAGTGTGAGTGTTATGTCCAAAGTGGACAGATCCTTTGTACGCATCGATATTTGACCCTATCTGCTAAACCATTAAGTCACCGTGATTTAATATCCTCCCAAATGCTCTGTTGAAAAAGAGTGTAAAAACTCCTTAGGATGGGATATTCAACCTTTTAGAAGAAGAAGATTCCTTAGCTTTTCTCCAAATTATTACAATTGCCGAAAATATCTCTAACCTTATATTATAAACCTGAGAAACATAATTCTCACTTCATACATTTATACCATATTTGGTTCATAGAATTGGCCATGAAATAACATTTTCAAAAATAGCCATATTCTATCATTTGGTAAGTCATTTTATTCACAGGAATACTATTCCTGTAATGATTATTTCCCTTACAAGAGGAATAACTATATATATGGTAGTTTTGTCTTTTGAATGTTTATTATATTTTTATTATTTTTTAATTTATCTAACCAAATATTAGAAAACAATTTCTGAATCTATTCCTTTCATGAACCCAACAATAGAATTAATTAAATTCATGTTCTATTACTTGGTTATTCCATTCTTGGTGAAAAATGACATATACCTTCAAAATTCATTATGTAAACCAAACATGCTATTAAAAACGGGTAGCAAGTGATCTCTATTTTTTCCCTTTTGTAAAAAATAGAAAATTGAAAAGGAAAAAGTTTTTTTTTTTTATATTTAAATATGCAGGTTTATTCAGTGAGTAGTTGTGATCTTCTCTAGTAAATTGAAACTTTCTCTTCACTAGTGAATTGTTATCTTTCTTTAAATAAGTAAAGCAACAAGAAACATGCCTAGATAATGCATGTGACGTGATGTGGTTACCTACTTTTTTTTTTTTAAAAAATACATATTTTACTTTCAAAAAATATTTCAAAGGAAAAACGATCAAAAGTCGTTTGAACTTTATACAAAAAGTCTATTAAATTTTTGAACTTTTAAAATATGCAATTAACATACTATACTTTCTTGCCTTGTTGGTGTCTTGTAACCTGATAGGGATATAACCAGATTGTGTACCTGGTGGTCGGCAATTGGCCCTTGTTCTCTAGGGATCACAACCCGACCTAGCCCGACCGAGTCCTTCGAACTTCCCGATCATCTCTTCCCGCCGCCCTCATGCTTGGAAGAGCCTGCGGTCTCTTAGGCCGTGCGAGGGGACCGACCTTGATAGGTCGGTACCAGGTGGCCGACTTTAGTATGCCAGCCTTGTCAGAGATATAGCACCACGTGTCACAAATCTCTTCAGCCCCGACTTTGGCCCGTGCATGCGCACCACGTGCCCTCCATACCGGAGACTCGAATTTTGTCCCATCTCTTCTCCTATAAATACAACATTTATTGCTGATGAGGGGACTTTTTTCACCTACTCTATATCGACTCTATATGCTCAGAGAGTACCGACCCATTGTCGGAGGATCCCGAGCATATTATTTTATTCATCGTACATTCAGTATCATAACTAATTAAAATTTAGAGTGAGTTGAACTAACCACATGTATCACAAACTAAGTCACCTACACTCCGACATTACTGATTTAGAATGTGTAATGGACTCGATCGAAATAATATTGATAAAAATTGAACTCGTGACATTCTGACTTTTGATATGAAAATCATCCTCCATTCACTCGATTACTCTTTTTTTTTTAAAAAAATCAATAAGTTCGATCTATCTATGAATATTGTCCTTCTAATTATTTTGAGTTGTAACCAAATATAATAACTCGATCATATGCCGTCCAAAATGTCATTGTTTCGTATTAAATTATCTTTCCATGCTACAAGTGGGAACACACATTTCATTCAAACATCATTTCATACACTTTATACAAATTAAATTCTAAATATACTCCACAAAATTTTACTTTTAGACTAACACATTATTTATAGTTTTATACAATCTATATTGTAAAAAAAGGAAAAAAAAAGTCATTTGAGCTTTATAATATTCTTGAAAAAAAATAAAAATATAAAATTTTAATTTTGAACACACTACACTTTGATTTTGCCAAAACAAAATATTTCAAGAAATTTCACATTCACTTTCAAGAATATATATATGTGTACAAAACTATGCACAGGTTTAAAAATAAAAGATAGAGAAAGGACTATAAGGAGTCATAAAAAAAAAAAGTACATTTTAATTATTCATACAAATGAAAAAATAAAATGAAATGTAAAATAAAGTCTCTAGTCTCTAGAAGAAGTAGAAAAGAACCGGCGCAAAAAGTCAAAAGTCAATCTTTTCGTGCTCAATAGTTTTTCTCCACTCGCGGCATGAAATTTTCAAAGTGGGGCCCGCCCGAGGCATCTACCGCGCTCCTTTGACAATCAAATTTTGTCGTTGCCTCTGAACCGGAATTTGATTTTAGACCGGCGGTCGAGCCGAGCTAGATGGCATTAACTCGGTTTCATCTCCTTTGGGTTCTAGACACTTGAATGACGGCATTCTCACGGCTGTTTTCCCTCCGGTGGATGAGGAAGCCTCGCCGTTATCAGCAACCACCTTCGGTGATTTCATCGACGGCCACCGTGAAAAGAACTGAAGCCACCGGTCCGACCGGCCTTCCCCGTCCAACCGGTCCATCCTACGATAAGACCGGCCGCCTCGATTGCTTCCTTCTCCGGTACCGGTTCTATAGCCCCTTCTTGAGCTCGCGTCTCTCGGTAAATGCACGGCCACACTCCTAACCCGGGCCCGGTTCATCATCTCCTTCCTAACGTCCTCCGGCAATTTTAGGGTGTACCGGTCCAAATTCTCTCCTGGTAAAACCAAAGAGTGTCCGGTCGAGTGTGATCTAAACTTGCTGAACATTTTAGGTCGTTTTATTGAAAACGATCTAGGGGGTCGGTTTGGAACATTGAAGCTCAAGTTCCGTTTAACCGATTTCGCTCTAACGACAGTTCCCTCACCGTCTTGTTGCCGTTGCTCTTGATCGCTCACTACATGTACCGAAATCTCCTCGGATTGTGCCTGATCGTTACCGTCTTCTTGTGGCCCGTCTTGTGTTGGCAACTCGGGGGTCTGAACCGGTTCATCACCCGGTTGAGGAGCGAGGTTGGCTCGGCAAACCGGGCACGTCACGTGCGCCTCGAGCCAGGCGTCGATGCACTCGGGGTGAAACACGTGATCGCACTTGGGGATTAAACGCAGCGTTTCATCGTCTTCGAACTCGTTCAAACACACCGCGCACTCCAACACTCCCTTCCCAATCTGGTGTTCCTTCACCTCCGCGTAGGTAAACGTCGGGAATGTCTCTATCACCGACGCGTCGAGCCCACGCGCCGCCGCCCTCCGCCGCATCGACAGCGCCTGCCGCACGCTGTTCCCCGCGGACGACTCGTTGCAGTGGCGGATGTAGATGGAAAAAAATCCCATGAAAAACAAGGCAGCCACGAGGACAACTATGATGACCGCCATTGACGGGCTGAAGTTCCTGTAGTACTCGTTGCTGTCTGTCTGCGGCTGCTGAGCGGCGGCGCGTGGAACCACCGGAGATAAAAGTAAGAGAACCAGGAAGAAGACGAAGCTAGGAAGAGAAAAGATTCCATTTTTCGGCATATAGATACTAGATGAAACAACCTTATTCTTCGTAAGACCCGCCATGGATCATGCTCTGCGTTGTAATAATCAGTGAAAGGTGTAAAAGAGTCGCCGGAGTTTTCAAGAATCCGGTCAGAGACGGCGGTGGATGTAATGAAGGTGAGAGAGGTTGTATATATGTGGAGTGTGTATATATACATCCATTAGGAAATGCATCTATATCGGGAGAGGGGGGGGGGGGGGGGGGGGGGGGGGGGGGGGGGTTGAAGAAGTTTCGTGGAGAAGGGTTAGGGTTTCAACTTTGACGATGGGTGTTTTGTTTGTCAAAAGTATCAAAACATTCTTAATTATCGATCCAGCTTGTACAGTATTGGTTAATTATAGTAATATCCAAAAGTAATTACTTGGAGAATCTATTGGGTCCAGTTTGGTTGGGGAAAAATATTTGAAAAAAATAGAATTAAAATTTCATAAAAAAATAATTAATAGAAAGATTGATTTTATTATTTGATTTGTTAAAAAGAAATTACTGGAAATATTAATTTAATTATTTGGTCAAATTTAGAATAGTAAGGAATAATGATTATAAAAACTTTTGATTACTGGAAATATAAGTTCGAATTTTGATTAAAATTAATTTTGGTATTTGGTAATGAGGTAATCAATATCATGTTTTAATTCCATATCTATCATTTTATATTAATTAAAGATTACGCTATTAATTTTACAATAAAACTTGCTGTACTATTTATAAACGTGATATTACACAACGTGATAAAATCACCATACTCGGAGAACCACATATAACATTAACTCTTACTAAAAAAGTACTAATATTATATTTCCCTTTAAAGTGCCTAAAAATATTCACTTTTTTTTAACATTATTTAATTTTACTTTTTTTGATATTTGAATATTAAGTAAAATTATTCTTTCATTTATGGTGTAATCAATTTATTCATACGTAATTAATAAATATAAATAAATTTACTATCACGTCGTCAAAAAGTTAAGTACGGAGTAAATTTAAGAAGAGAAAAGAGTTTATTTACTGTTAAATACAAGGTGTGGTGCAATTATTATAAAGAATATTAGGTGGATAAAAAATCAGTGTACACAATAATTTTGGTTAAAATATTAATATTAATTTGACATGTGAGGCTTTAGATAATTAATTGCGGAGAGCGAGTGTGAAGCTAGAGCCAGTTAGCATAGCAGCCAAGAATTGAATGTATTTGCTGGTCAAAAATGGGAGGCTGCCACGTGGGTTTCTAGTAACATTAGCATAGTTTTGTTGTTTTGTATATTAAAAAAAAAGGCTAGGTTTCCTTTCAAAAAAAAAAAAAAAAAAAAAAAAGGCTAGGGATCATGAAATAGAGCTGAAGGCCGGGTAGTTCGTTTGGATATATTTAATAGGGGAGAAAATTGCATCTTTAGTCCCTGAGTTATACCCAAGTGCCAACTCAGTCCTTGAGTTATGACCGTATTCATTTTTAGTCCCTCAGTTATGAACAAAGTGGCGCATTTGGTCCCTGACCGTTAAAACTGACGGAAAAATTAAAAAAATATTTAAAATTTGAGGGGTAAAGTAGGAAATTCACATTTTATTCTTTCTTAGCCTCTTATTTCAAGATTGTTCAATTCTAAAAGCATTTCAATAACTTTAGTATGACTTGTTAGGAACCTGGCTCTCGTATAACAAATTTAAGATTTAGCACAAACAAATAAACACTTGATCATTGTCTTCATACGTGTGAAACACATTATCTTATCAATTTATAATTTTCTTTACTAAGCAACAAAGGTTATCAAACCAGAACTTTTGAGATACAAATTGATGTCAAATTTCTCATGTTGCTTTTATGATAAATTCACCAATGGAATAACTTGAGGGATTTTTAGTATGTAATTTTTTTTAATATGCAATAGTTTAGTTAATAATCGTTTTTAGAAGTTACAAAACTTTTTATAATTTGCATAACTGAGTCATAGGTTCTTCATTCATTACTCTGATTTTTAAGAAGATAGAGAAGGTGATGGATATATATATATATATATATATATATATATATATATATATATATATATATATATATATATATATATATATATATATATATATATATATATATATATATAATTTTCATATATTGTCAGGATATACGATTCTTGATTAAGTTACTGTAGAGCTTACGAAAGAATTTTACATACTAAAAATTTCAAGTTACTCCTAGTAAATTTGTTATAAAAATAACCCGAAAATTTTGATATCTTCTTGTATTTCAAAAGTTATACTTTGATTACCATTATGTTTAGTAAGGGAAATCAGAAACTTTTAGTATGGTATGTTTTACATGATTATAGTTACAAAAGTATTCTCTTGTTTGTACTGAGTCACATGTTCCTCATACGAGACTCAGGTTACTAACAAGTCATACGAAGATTATTGAATTATTTTTGGAATTGAAAAACCTTGAAATAGAATGCTAGGAAATTGAAAATAATATTGCAAAAGTGGTTTCAATATAATAAAGTGAATAAAATGTGAATTTTATACTTTACCCCTAAAATTTTAAATATTTTTAAATTTTTCCACCAATTTGAATGGTCGGGGACCAAATGCGCCACTTTGTTCATAACTGAGGGACTAAAAATGGACACGGTCATAACTCAGGGACTGAGTCGTCACTACCATTATAACTCAGGGACCAAACTCGCCATTTTCCCTTTAAATAACACATACACACGTATATTAAATCATAATTGTATGTTCATTAAGTTATTATTACATATTCATTAAGTAACTATTATAGATTAATTAATTAAGTCACTACACGATCTATAATATTTTCCTCCCTCTAATTTACAAAGTATATATCATCCTAAATTTTACATATTTTATTTCAACAGTGAGGATTATTCAAACTTGCCAACATAAATTTTTTAAAAATACGTTGCCACTAAGGTATTTTAAAAAAAAATGTAATAGGCTATACAAATATAATAGTTAACACTATATATCTTTTTACTAAAAGAACTCCTTGTATGATTATGAGAAAAAGATATATGCCCTCGCGACTTAGTGTAGTTTGTTCGTCACCTGATTTAAAGGTCACAACTGGAGGCAGTAGTGTGGGGGTTAAGGATGATGGAAGGTCTGAATTGAATCATTTTGCAATTTACCTCCGTAGTATAGCTCTAAGGGCGAGGCCCTGCTGGATATATATACCCTAGAGTACATGTCTACCTTCACTATTATTGTTTAATCATAATATAATATTCATAATAAATTAATTTTAAATATATTTAAATATCGCTTGGAGATTACACTAATAAAATATAATAATATATAGTGATTTTTGTTGGACACGTAATATTACTCTTTTTATTTTTATTTTTTATTCCAATAACAACAAAATTATACTACATGGAGTAAACTTTAAGGCAAAAAAAAGGGGTTCCAAACCTTCATACTACACGATAACATTTGCTCTTCTAATTGTGTAACTCAAGATATTTACTCTTTTCTTCAGCAACAAATAATAACTATCATAACAAGCCATCACAAGGGCCCTCAAAATGGTCCATAATTGGCCATTACCTCATTAGTATTATTCAATTCCTAGCTGCTATATATCTACATAATATATAATACTTCCTTAATTTAAGAATGCATCTAATTAATATCTTTTAAGTAGGACATATTTGTTTTTTTTTTTTAAAGAATTAAAAGAAATAGAAGAGTTGAGTTGAGAAAAAAAAATTCAATTATCCCATGCATCTTATATGATTATTATGACTATATGCACATCCGTAATATAATCAGTGTGATTTGCAAGCTGATGTCTATTTTCTTAATTCTTTTTTTTTTTTTTCCATTTTAATCTAGTTGTGCATTACAAAGATTACAAGATTTACTGTCCTTACAAATATGATGACCCATTAGACTTATTGGAATGTTTTTTTTTTAAAAAAAATAATAAAGTTAGATGTTATTTTTAGTATTAAATTATTTTTATATTATATTTTGAAAATGAATTGAACTGAATGCGTATATAGCAAATAATGGTGAATTGTGATATAGAAATTAGAAATAAGACACTTTTAAAAGGGAGGATATTTCAAATATGCATATAGCCTAATAACATAATTCTATCGTAACTTAAACTAAATTCATAATATTAATAAATTTCTATAATATAAAAAAGACTAATCACTTGTCAAAAAAATAAAAAAGACTAATCAAATTATGAGATTTGTGATGCCTTCTCGTATTAGTATATCTGAGATTCAATACATGCGAGGTTGACTTTCATCGCCTGAATTTCAATAAGATGTATTTTATTTTATTTTATTTTTAAATAAAAAATAGTAAAGCTATAATTAGCCCATTTACTATAGTTATTGGACAAATTTTACTGTGGACCATGATCCAAAATGGTGCCTAAAAGAAACGGCACCCGTTTTGCACTTCCGCGTAATTAGTTCTGTTTGCATTATATATTCAGTTTAATTTTATATACATCGTAGTTTCCCTTTTAAAAAAAAAAACATTGTAGTTTCATTTCAGCACAACTAAAATTTCATTTTGTTTCAACTAGAGTTTCATTCGACATTATACATATAATAGTCTTATTACAGTGAGCCATGATATTGAATTTTATTTTATACACACTGTAGTCTTATTCAACACCACTAAATTATAATTCTAATTCAACTACGGTTTCACTGGACAATATATACTCAAATATGTGAAACTAGTATTCAGTTTCATTTTATATACACTGTAGTTTCATTACAACACAATTAAAGTATCATTTTGATATAACTACAGTTTCATTTGACAATATACACTCAATATGTGAGACCTGTTATTCAGTTTCTTTTTATACATATTGTAGTTTCATTTCAGCAAAACTAAAGTATCATTTCAATTCAATTATGGTTTTATTTGACAATATATATACACTCAATTTGTGAGACATGTTGTTCAGTTTCATTTTATACATACTGCAGTTTTATTTCAACACAACTAAAGTATCATTTCAATTCAATTACAGTTTTCATTTGATAATATAAACACGTACAATATGCGAGACAAGTTATTCAGTTTCATTTTAAATACACTATAGTTTCATTTTGTTATGAACACACAAAAAATACGAGATTTGTTACA